AGTTTTCAGTGTTGTCCTCTCGTTTCTCTGTCCTCTCTGGGTCTTCTGAACCTTCTTTGCAGAACTACCTGCAAGGGAAGATGGCGTACCTAAGACAGAGCCTGCAAATCCTCCTATATAATCACTCTGCTGCCAATCTCCTCACTTTTCTTTTTATCTATGCTAACTTCTTAGTTCTCTTGAATCTGGTGAACTGTTTCAAAAAAAAATCAAACTGTCTCTGCCATTTTCTTAGTCTCTTCCTATTTTTACCATAAACAACAATTTTCATGGTCCTTATAGACCATCCTGCTCTTCTGTCACTGTGATAACTTCATAGTTTATTGCCACTTAATTGAAATTTTGGAGAAAGTGAGATGAATATTTTATATAAATTTCCACATTTCGTTTTTTATTTAAAATTACAGAACTGTGTTTAGTTTTGTAATGTGTATAATGGAAGTTCATAAATAACTCTAAATTAAGGAAAGAGACCCCAGGAATCTTCAAATCCAGTTACAGTATTTTTTATAAGCTCATGGCTACTCTTCACCCTCCAATTATTTTGGAATCAATTTATATTTTAAAATATCTACTTATATTAAAACATAGCTGCACTATTATAACCATGCCAAAATAGAGCATCCCCATAAAATGTAACTAGGATTGATTTACACCACCCCAAGTTTGCTTTTTTTATATATAATTAATTTAATTTTACATATCAGCCACAGATTCCCCTGTCCTCCCTCTTCCCACCCACCCCCCACCCTCCCCCATCCACGCCCCATTCCCATCTCCTCCAGGGCAAGGACTCCCCTGGGGATTCAGTTCAGCCTGGTAGATTCAAGTTTGCTTTAAAAGTATACTTGTTTGTTCATTTGTTGTGTTTGGTTTCCTCAAAACAAAATCTTAGGGCGGTCCACACACTCTACTTAGCTGACTATACAAAACGTGCTGCTTTAATTCTACAGGCTTTACAAATAGAATTAAAAGGAAGAGATGGCATCTATTCTTTCTCTGTTTTCTTATCATTAATTTGTGAGAGAAATTTAGTCTGTCATTGTTCAGCCATAATTGAAATTTTTCTGTGTCTGATGTTGTCTTAGCAAGCCTGATTTCCTGCTCTTTCCTTTATTTTCTCCAAATTCAAAGTTAATTATGAATCAGAATTAATATTTTTACAAAATATCATTTTCTTTATTTTGTTGGCCCTTAGTGGTTTCCCATCATTTCACTATATTTGTAAAAAAGAAAATCTCTTTAGCTCTATTGTTTTGAAACATTCATAAAGAGAAAGCATTGTTTTTGTTTTAGGACAAAAGACACAGAATAAGCAACAGCACCATAGTGAGGAAACATAGAAAACACACATAGAATGTGATTTAACACATTACAGTTCTCAGTCTCACTGATACCCAGTTCACACTATGTGGCAAATGACTGGTTTGCTTTTGTCCTTGTTAAATAACCCCAGTTGTTTTTTTTACTAGTTCTATGTTGTCTAGTACTGAACAATGTCCAGATTCATTTGTTATATTTTCATCGTAAGTTCCAAAGCCAACCAGTTTTCAAAGCATGTATCCAGCCATCAGGATGTTCCTCACTATTGGGTCAGTCTTGTTTGCTTTTGTTTTCTATTCATTAATTTATTCTGTCATTCCTGGTTAAGACACTACTTGGAATAAGTTGTTTCATTTCAGCTATCATTTTTTTCTTACCTCCAAAATCTTGGCTCCCAAAGGCCTGGACAAATCCAAAAATGTGTATCCTGTAATTTTAGCTTATATTAGAAATAACAAAAACTGTCTTATTTCAACATGTTTTCCTCCCTTTTCTACCTGAGCAATATTATACGTATATTAAAATGTGTAGCATGCATTCATTTTCACAGCTCTCTGTGCACAGTGGTCTTTGGTGCATGTGGTCTAGTAGACTAGTAGACATGAGAGGGTTCTTATTCAAGTCAGACATTTTCCCATTTGGAGGATTGCTGGTACTAAGAAGGTACCTCTAGAATTTTTTCTTATTCTTCTAACATAATCTATCACACCTAGTATAATCTACATCGGCCTTTCCATTGGTATTTATTTCCTGGCACATGATAAGTACTTTCATATATCCTTTTTTAGTTTTTCATAAAATATTTTATTATGCATTGAAATACACTTCCGTTTTCCCTTTTTACTTAATTCGGTTCAAAAGATTGTATTTACAATTCCATTGTTTAATGCATCGTATAGTCTCCAGGCTAATTATTTCAATTTAACTTAAATTATTCTTTTTTAATTAATTCTTTTAACTGTAGGCTTTTTTTAACAGAAAGTTTTTTTGGCCTCATACAACTTTGCTATTTATATCAATCTTTTCTTTCATCTGCCATTTTGATTTTAAAATTTCTTTATCATCAAATTATTTTTACACTCTACTAGCTCAGACTGATCCATTCTCTTTTGTTTGTGACAGTTGTCTTAATCTTTTCTTTATTAAGAAAATTTTTTCATTCATTTTACACACCAATCAAAGATTCCCCTTTTCCCTCCTCCTGCCCCACTCAGCCTTTCCCTCACAACCCACTCCCCAGTCCCCCCAACAAGAAGACAAGGCCTCTCATTGGGAGGCACATCCAATAGGGGCAAGTCCAAGCCCTTCCCCCTGCCTCAAAGCTGCATGATGTCCCATCATAGGTAGTGGGCTCCAAAAAGCCCACTCATGCACCAGGGATGGATTTTGATCCTACCGCCAGGGGCCCCCCAAGCAGATCAAGCTACACACTTGTCTCACCATTCAGAGGGCCTAGTTCAGTCCCATGCAGGCTCCACAGCCATTGATCCAACTTTCATGAGTTCCCACTAGTTTGGTTTGATCATCTCTGCAGTTTCCCCATCACGATCTTGATGCTCTTGCTCATAGAATCCCTCTTCTCTCTAACTGGATTCCTGGAGCTCTGCCTAGTGTTTGGCTGTGGATCTCTGCATCTACTTCCATCAGTCACTGGAGAAAAGCTCTGTAATGACAGTTAGGGTATTCACCGATCTGGTCACTGGGGTAAGCCAGTTCAGTTCAGGCTCCTTCTCCACTATTTCTAGTAGTCCAAGCTGGGGTCATCCTTGGGGATTCCTGGGAACTTCCCTAGGACCGAGTTTCTCTCTATCCCCATGATGTCTCCCTCTATCATGGTATTTCTTTCATTGCTCTCCCACTCCATCCCTGTTCCAGCTCAACAATCCCATTCCCTTATGGTCTCATTCCCTATCCCCCATCCTCCATTGCCCACCCAGTCTCCTCATTTTACTCATGGAGATCTCATCTATTTCCCCTTCCCAAGGAAGTTCATGTGTCCCTCTTTGGGTCTTCCTTGTTAGCTAGCTTCTCTGGAGTTGTGGGATGTTGTCTGGTTATCCTTTGCTTTACATCTAGTATCCACTTATGACTGGGTACATACCATGTATGTATGTACATTGTCCTTCTGAGTCTTGGTTACCTCACTCAGGTTGATACTTTCTAGTTCCATCCATTTGCCTGCAAATTTCATGTTGTCATTGTTTTTCTCTGCTGAGTAGTACTCTATTGTGTTTATGGACCACATTTTCTTAATCCATTCTTTAGTTGAAGGGCATCTAGGTTGTTTCCAGGTTCTGGCTATTATGAATAATACTGCTATGAACATAGTTGAGCATGTGTCTTTGTGTTATGATTGAGCATTCCTTGGGTATGTGCCTAAGAGTGGTATAGCTGGGTCTTGAAGAAGATTGATTCCCAAATTTCTGAGAAACCACCACACTGATTTCCAAAGTGGCTGCACACCAACAGTGGAGGAGTGTTCCCCTTGCTCCACATCCTCTCCAATATAAGCTGTCTGCAGTGCTTTTGATCTTAGCCATTCTGACAGGTGTGAGATGGTATCTCAAAGTCATTTTGATTTGCATCTCCCTGATGACTAAGGATGCTGAGCAATCCCTTAAATATTTCTCGGCCATTTGAAATTCTCCCTTTGAGAATTCTCTGTTTAGCTCTAATCCCATTTTTAATTGGATTGTTCGTTATATTGATGTCTAGTTTCTTGAGTTTTTTATATATCTTGGAGATCAGCCCTCTGTCAGATGTTATCTACTCTTTTGCTTTCAAACTATTTAGAAAAATGTAATACAGAATTTTCTTTCATATTTTTTGGACTCCTATGAGTAATGGCTTTTTTCTTTTTAATTTTGATAGATTTTAATTACAATAGAATTGCATGACTTCCATTCCCCACTTTCCTCCCTCCAGCCCCTCCCAAGTGCCTTCCCTTGAATCCTACCCATCCCTCACAATGCTCACATAGCCTTTTCTTTGATTATTACTGGTACGTGTATGCATGTGTGTATAAGTATGCAAAAGTATTTAAATACAACTGGCTGAGTCTGTTTTTATTATTTGTGTGCATGTGGTTTCAGAGTTGACCACTTCATATTGAACAACCAGTAAGTGGGCTCATCCACGGAGGTGATCATTCTTCCTCTCCTAGTAATCACTAGTTGCCTGGAGTTCTTGGCCTGGAGGTGGGACCCCATGAAATTTCCCCCTTCCACATGTACATGTCCATTGTTGTCACCATTGTTCCTGTCCTATTTATGCAGCTATTTCTAACAGAGACTTTAATAGCAGACTCCCTGATGTTCTGGCTCTTACAATCTTCATTGCCAGGTTCAATTGTGAAGAGAATACTGCTTCTCACACTAAACTATTACTTTGGTACTCACTGGGTTGAATTTATAGTTTCCTTATATTTGACATTATTAATTTACTTAGTGTGAGAGAGGTAGACCATAGCATAGATATGAGATCAGAGGTCAGATTGACAGTGTTAGTCTCTGCTTCCACCAGATTGGATCTGAGGACAAGGTCATCAGGCTTGGCAACAAGCATCTTTACTCCCTGAGCCATCTTACCAGTCCTATTTTCCTTCTTTGGAATTTTTTTTTCTTTTAGATGCACTACATTTCTAAATCTGCTTCATATCTGTAGTGTTTATGCTTGAACCCATATCAATAGGTATTACACCAGAAGTGTTTGCATTAACTTCATCATTCTACTTAGGTTTCTTCAGAGATTGAACAGATCACATCTTCCTAGAGCCCTTAACTGTCTCCAAGGATGCTCCCTTCCCAGTCCTTCATCAACATCTCCTTCTTCCAGCCACAGTATTTCCTCATGACTGGCATCCAAGGACTAGAAGCCATCCATGGCTGGATCTCCATCCCCTTCTCCTCCATGTACACTGTGGCACTCACTGGAAACTGCCTCATCCTCCTGGCTGTGAAGAGGACCCATAGCTTACACCAGCCCATGTACTACTTCCTGTCCATGCTGGCCCTAAGTGATGTGGGCCTCAGCTTGTCCACTATGCCTTCCACCCTGGCTGTGCTCTGGTTTGACTATCGTTTGATCAGTTTCTACACCTGCCTAATACAAATGTTCTTCCTACACTCCTTCTCTGTGGTGGAGTCTTCAGTACTCTTGGCCATGTCATTTGACCGCTTTGTGGCTATCTCCAACCCACTTCGCTATGCATCTGTCCTCACTAATAATGTCATCATCAGGATTGGGGCTATCATTGTAGCTCGAGCCACTCTGTCGCTATTCCCAGTGCCCTTCTTGCTGAAGCGACTGAACTATTGTCCTGGTAAGATCCTCCTGTCTCATTCATTCTGCTTCCATGCTGATGTCATGAAGCTGGCCTGTGCTGACATTACTGTCAATATCCTGTATGGACTCTATGTGGTTCTGTCCACAGTGGGTGTAGACTCTTTGCTTATTGTTATGTCCTATGCACTGATTCTTCACACAGTGATGGGGCTAGCCTCTCCCAGGGAGCGTGTCCGAGCCCTCAATACATGTATTTCCCATATCTTGGCTGTCCTGGTCTTTTACATTCCAGTCATAGGTGTGTCCATGATCCATCGTTTTGGTAAGCACCTGCCCCACATTGTTCACGCCCTTGTAGCATATGTGTACCTTGTGGTGCCTCCTGTGCTCAACCCCATCATCTACAGTGTCAAGTCCAAGCCCATCAGGGAGGCCATGTTCAGTGTACTAAGAAGAAAAGATCAGACATGATGACACTGGATGTTTATGGGACTTGGAGCCTGCGAAATGGTTGGGAAACAAAAACAACATACTTGGTGGATCAAGTCATACCAATAGCTTCATTATGGGCATCAACAATAAAAAGTGTAAGACTGTGGTAAAATTATTTCTATAATTGTTTTCTATGGTGCTAGGGATCATTTCTAATGCTTCTAACATGTTATGCCGGCCCTCTACCACTGAGTTACATTCTCTGATCTGAAAATATGTTTTGTCCATTTGTTACCTCATTTATGTCACACATATTTTCTTAAAGTCAATGTTTTCTAGCCCTACTTTAGATTCCAGCAACAGAAAAAAAGGACATGTTGCCTTTGCTTTGTAGACCTTAAATTTCAGTACATATCCAAAATGTCTAAATAGAAAAACAGTCTATTAAATGTGATATAATGGGTACATTGTTTAAAGTATGTACAGAGTTCTGGGTAAGCAGAAGAATAAGTTTTTTATCTGTTTATTGTTGTGTCCTTTCTGTGGTTAGATGTAAATAATTATGTTATACAATATTGCTAGGATTATTATACACTAAATAATATTTATCACAATATGTTGTAAATGCCAATAAAGATTTTCCTTTCTAATAACTGCAAATAATCATTGATTTATTTATTACAACAATCTTCTCTGAATTTATTCTATACTGACCCTTTTTCACTTGAGAAATCTTTACACAATTGTGGGCATGCATGTATACAAAGTAAGTATTGAAACTAAATATTTATTGGAAATAAATCATGAAAATTTTTATTTTAAAACATTCTATGTTAAGCATAAAATTTTATCAATAATTAAACTGACAGCAAATTTGCATATTAATGATATTTTTCACATAATTAAGTTTCAACTGAGTATTTCATACTGCAGGTTGTAAAGTATCTTTAAATTTTTTCAGAATTGAAACCGGGGAGTGATGGAGCACGCCTTTAATCCCAGAACTTGGGAGGCAGAGGCAGGCAGATCTCTGTGAGTTCAAGGCCAGCCTGGGTTACAGAATGAGTTCCAGGAAAGTCGCCAAAGCTACGCAGAGAAACCCTGTCCGGGGGAAAAAAAAATTTCAGAGTTGAGTGACATCTCTGTTTTGTAAGACCACTGCTGAGAACATTGCTTTATAAATACATAGGATAAAATGGCAGTAAGTATACTTACAGTCATTTCAGAAGTTGTTGAAGGTTTGGTCCTCACTCCAAGAGAGCATTATACAGTTTTCACTAAACTGAAGTCAGTAACTCAGAAGTATTATAAATAATTCTATCATTATACAGTCCAAAGATATGCTAATATTATATTTTCATGATGAATAATGATGGTAGAAAAATATTTAAAAGTTTTCTTTTCTGTAATAGAAGCATTATGTTTCTGTAAGAGAAGAAAATTTTGTGTGTACAGCAAAAAAAAAAGGTAGATTCAAAACTAAGCCAAACTGTTTCATTAGGATGTGTTGAATGATAGCATGTGCAATAAAAGGTGCACATGTGGTGTGTTCAGAACCAAGCCAGCCATGAAGTCATGTGGTGCAGCATGGGCTGTTGCTTTCAGAAACTCCTCAAATTTGTTATTTGTTTCATTTTGAATTTTTTTTTTGTTCACTGATAACTCAGAAACTTAACTACTGTCACTAAAATTTCCACATCCCCAACACTTGGTTATGTCAACTCATATGGGGTCCTGACCCACATATTAAAAAGTTAGGCTTAAAGCAAAAGTTTTATTTATGCCTATTTTTAAGTTTCTAAGGTCTCAGATATGAAAAAGAACTCATTTTTGCCTTTGAGAATCTCACAGTCCATTGGAGTAGAGGGAAGAATAAGCCAGGAAATGGGGCGCAAGCAAAGGGCTACTGATACTAGCTATGGTTGGAAGGAGGGAAATAGTATATTTTGGAACTTTTGGAATTTTCTGTGCTCTAACTGGGCTCCTGAAAAAAGAAAAATGTATATTTGGTAGATGATGATTTTGAACTCGCTTGGATAAGTAGAGAAATGGAAGTGGGAGGAGACTTAAGGGGAAAGTCCTCTGCCTACACAGGAGAACAAGTGATTAAATATGACTAGAAAAGAGTCAAGGGGCAGAAGGTAGAACTAGAAGCAGGGCTCCTATAAGTAGAACTCTCAGTCTGTCTCAAGCGTGTGTACCAGTTTTTAAGCATGAACTATGGTCTGCCCCCAGGTCAAGCTCCATTCTGAAATTAAAATGGGATTCTAAAAATACCTTGGCCCCTTCATACAGAATTTCATATCATCTGCTTTATATTATAATAGTGACCACTCTTTAACCAATTCTAAGTCAGTGAGGTTGATTTTCTTAATTTGTGTCTATGTACCTAGCAGGTATTATGTTAGGGCTTGATAGGGACTCCACACATCCCTGCTACAATTGGCATCAAAAGTTTTACATGTTACGTGGCACACATGCAAAAATGCTATAGTGCACACTGATTCAGAGGCAAGTCTTCCTCCTGGTCGGGGCCCCTGGCATAGCTGGTGCTGTGCCACGTTACATGGTGAATGGATTAAGTAACTTTTTTACATATATTGTGTGTCATATCTAAAGTCCAAGGAAGACTAACAAGCACTACAGCAATTTCTTGGTGGTAGGAAGGGCAGGATGGAACAAACTGTCTTTACTTTTGAGAAAATGGAGACAGGACAAAAAGCATTGAATAGGTGAGAACATCACTTAAGTAGCAGGTTGCTGAATTTGTGAGTTCATCAAAATGTGTTACCATAGGGAATTCGGAACATGGCATGTTTCTGATTTCCAACACGTTAATGAGCAGTCACAATGTTCATCTTTAAGTTTCATGTTTCTTCAGTTTTTGAACCTATCTTGATCCAAACTGTCTTTCTAAAACATACCTACTTTCCTTTACTCATGCCCTACAGAATTATTGGCCTGTTAGTCCAAGTTCCTTTGGAGCTTGAGGAGTCCTGCAGAAGAGATGGAGGAAAAATTGTAGGAGTCAGAGGGGTCAAAGACACCAGGAGAGCACAGCCCACAGAATCAACTAAGCAGGGCTCATAGGAATTCACAGAGACTGAGGCAGCAACCAGAGCCTGAATGGGTCTGTGCTAGATCCTCTGCAAATATGTTATGATTACTAGCTTGGTGTTTTGTGGGACTCCTAGTAGTGAGAGTGAGGGTGTCTCTGACTCTTTAAATTGCTCTTGGGACCCTTTTCCTCCTACTGGGTTGCCTTGCCCAGCCTTGATATATAAGGGTTTGTACCTAGTCTTGTTGTATCTTGTTATGCCGTGTTCAGTTGATATTCCCTGGAGGCCTCCTCTTTTCTGAAAGGAATCAGAGGAGGAGTGGATCTAGGGGAGAAAGGTACTGGGAGGAATGGAGGGAGAGGAAACTGTGCTCTGGATGAATTGCATGAGAACAATAAAAAATTATTTAAAGATTCTGACCTCAGTGTTGGCTGAGTCCCTCCTTCTGGGAAACAGGAAAAGCACTTTCTAAAACTGAGGGAACCAGGGTGTTGGGGCCACTGATGCATTAGAACTTGAGGAAAGCATGCCTTAAAGACAGCTGGGCTAGAGGTATGATCCAATTGGTCATACCTATAATCTCTCTGAGATTCCCCCAACCAACCAACTGAACCTCTCAATAAACATTCCCATCCCAGGAGTGGAGATGAACACAGAGAAGTTTCTCTGTGACTCAAATCCTATTTTCCCTTGAGCCTGGCTGCGTTTTCCTGAATCAAAATAAAAGAAGAATATCTTAACCGAAGAAGCTTCTGTGTTCTATGAGATGTGGTACAGCAGATTCGACCATCACCACAACCAAAGTGAGTAATCAAGGTTCAAAATTGGGCTTTCCTCTATTTTTAGAGTACAAGGAGGATCCTTTTACTGTCTTCCCAAGCAAAGGCTCAAGGAAAATAAATACCAAAAGGTAGAGGTCAGAAAGAGACCTGGGTATTGGGTTTAAGAAGAGAAATTCCTGCTGAGTTCCAAAACAAATCTCTATACAATTGGTCCACAATAGTGATGCTTAAAGGAACCACTCAAGTCCTGTCTATAATGAAATATTTTTAAATGTTAATATTTGTGCTTGGGAGCACACCAACATGGTCCCTACACTCCTCTAGTGAATTTTTCATTCATTCATCAGAGTGACTGAATTTCTAGTATATGTTTTAAGTCAATGTTTCAGAGAGAAACAGAACTGGTGCAGAGGCAAGAAATTGGCTCTTGCAGTTGTGAGCACTTATGTGTGAATTATTCAGGACAGGCTGGAAACCCAAGGAAGAGTTGATGTACACTCTGTATCTCAACGCCATCTGGGACAGAATCCCTATTTCCTAGGGAGACCTCAGTTTACCCTCTCTTCTGATTAAATGAAGCCACACACAGAATAGAGTGATGATCTTTCTTCAAAGTCTGAAAATCCAAAAGTTAATTGTTTATTTAAAAAAAAACACTTATTCATAGAAATAGCTAGAACACTACTTGACCAAAAACTGTCACTATAATTTAGCCAAGTTAGCACAGGGAATTCATCATCATGTGTACCACACACTGTGAAATGAAGTTTTATTAAAAGACTTCCAGTTTTGGTAACCAGTCAAACTGGTTGAGATCAGAAACTGCTATGTAAGTGGGTGCGTGGCAATTTTATAGGCATGAATTAGTAATTGGAAGAAGAAATGCTTAGGAGTTAATACAGAAAAAAATTGAAATAAGGAAATATTAAGGAAGGAAATTCAGAGGAATAAAATAAGAGCAATGTAAAAAGATGGGAAATAAAAAAGATTGATGATTGATTGATTGATTGACTGACTGATTGATTGACTGATTGATTGATTGACTGATTCATTGATTGATTTTATTGATTGAATTAATTTTAGGAATAGTAGGTTTACAACCACCAAATGCCTGAGTTCAAACAACAGACAATATGGCTTATACCTCTGTGTTTTACAAAGAAGATTAAGGAGAAGGGGGAGAAAATGAGGCTGGGATCTAACACAACCTATGAAGTAGGACAGCTTACTTGGGAAAAAAGGAGGGCGTTTCATGCAAAATAGCACTGTGATTGAGTATTTCTGTCAACTCAATGAGCATTTGATTTTGTAAATAAGGGTAACACTGTTGAATTCATTTTTCATTCAAAGCTAACTAAACTTCTAACACACCCAGTATATACCCAGTATAATACAATAATACAGCAGAATGACTGAAACCCAAAAACTATTCTCTAATTCTCTCCATTTGAAAAATTGTTAAAATTACTTTCACATACTCAAACCTATGAATTGCTGTTACTTCAACAAGTGGAAGACATATGTAGCTGAAGTTATCTCACATATTCCGGTTCCAGAGGCTTGTACATAAATGTCAATATTGTACTCCAGCTGAAGCA